TTTTCCTCTTCCCGCCTCTGCCTTTGTGACTCTGCCCCATGCCTTGCCCACCCTGGCCTCACAGGTTCACGGATGAAGAATTTTGCCCTGGATGACCCACACCGTAGGTCTCTCACTGACTTAAATCATTTAGATGATGAGACTGGGACACTGAGTTGATATTTAGATGAGATTGTTAGAGCTGATGCTGAAATCGTTAAGCCCTTGGGGGATGTTGGGATGGGGTGAAGGTATTTTGCACCTGGAAGGACATGAATCTGGGGGAGGGCAGGCTGTTATGGATTGAATTGTGTCTTCCAGAAAGACATGTTGAAGCCCTAACTCTTGGTATCTGCGCACGTGGCCTTATTTGGAAACAGTCTTTGCAGATGTGATCAGGTTACAGGGAGGTCATACTGGGTTAGGGTTCGCCTAACCCCAATATGACCAGAGGCCTTATAAGGGGGAAATTCATACATGGACAGACACAGAGGCAGTAACAGAGATAGAGCTTGGCCTGATGCTTCCTCAAGCCACAGGGCATCTGGGCTCACTGAAAGCTAGAGGCAGCAAGGAGGGATTCTTTCTTCGGGGCTTTGGAGAGAGCCCGGCTCTGCCAACGCCTTGATTTCAGTTTCTGTGGCCTCCAGAGCTGAGAGAGTGAAGGTCTCTTGTTTGAAGCCCCACAGTTTGTGTTATTTCATTATTGGCAGCCCTTGGGGACTAGTACCGATTCTAGCCTGGCAATCGGTTTACTAAACGAACTATCTGTTGGATTGATGGCCATCAAAGCCTAAGTTAGAAAATGTGCAGACTGTCTGCAGCTCCTGGGACATGTCACCATCGCCAGCTTTAAACTTCCATTAGTCACTACGTGGAATATAAACATTTTCATTTTCTTTCTCCCTAATGTCCTCAGAAATTCAGATGTGAGAAAAATCACGATACGGCTCCTTCAAGCACTAAAATGATACCAAAACACTTCCCACACAAAAAAAAAAACACACCCAAAGGATTCTTCAGATAACAGGAATGATGAAAAACATTACATACATTATAATAAACACTGCTAAGTATTTTAAACTGTATTCTTGGAGAGATGTAAGGCACACGGTATCAGTTTCAGGAGTAACTATGCTATTTCACCTTTTTGTGATTATTATAATGAGAGCGATTAAGAGAGCAGTCGTCTAATAGCGGCTTCACCGAGCTGATTGACAGATGAGGAGGCAGATGCACAAATGTGCCTCCGGCATCAGCTGCTGAACAAAAGGAAGCCTGTGAAGGTGGTGTCGTCATCCTCGTCGGCAAATAGGCCGTTAAACCTCTCCCCGCCCGCCGCCTGCAGCCACACCTCGTCCCCCAACTTCAGCTGCAGCACGATGCCCCCAGAGGCCTGGTCCTCCGAGCTCATGTACCCGTCCTTGGTGTGCAGTAGCTTTACCCCATTTTTGACCAAAGATACCCACACATTCCTGGAGAAAACAGTGATGTGGTAGGTGAAGTAATAGACCCCGATCAAGGCTCAGTAAATAGGAATTCTGTAGCTGAGGGGAATTAGAGCAGCAAGTGGAGCAGCCGGGGTGCAGAACTGCTGGAGGGGCTCGCTCTCGCCCCAGGCATGCAGTGAGCGCCTCCGGCAACTGGACGCCCTGGGTGCCTCACTTGCTGCACCCTCGTCCTGGCTCTGTTCTGGAAGAAACGTAAATTAAGTAAAGGCAATAAAATGCCTATGAACAGAAATTATTTCTGTATGTTTCTACAATTTTCCATACCACAAAGTAACTTTTCAATATTTCTTCGCCAGCAGTGTTGCCTGCCTGTAACGATAATGCAGAGAAATCCCATTTTTCCAGGGAATGAAGGTATCACAACCGTGTTGACTCAACGGGAGTATGGATAGAATGGTTTGTTGTACGTCCCAATTTCAGGGGGCACTGTGAGACAACACGTCCAGGCTGTGGTTTGGAAAATGCTGCAGCCTGAATATGCACTAAGTGTGTGTCCTTTGGCTTCATTATTAATTGCTCTCCACTAGTAGAAAAGTACATCAAATCAACGGAGACATAAGTAATACGCCCAGAATTTCAGAGGAGGATTGGGACCATACAGAGTGATTCAGTTCAACCACTGTTGCACAATAAGAGACCAGGTGGGACACAGGATACGTAACGCACCCAACTCAAATTCCTTCGTCATAACTGGAACAGCAACACGTCTCAATTCTCCCTCTTGGGCTTTTTCTACTATAATCAAGCCGACCCTCTCCTTGGACCCTAGACCATTTAAGATTCTTGTAAACAAAAGCAATAGTAGCAACAATGATAACAAAGACTTGCACCAGACCTGTTTAAGGCACCAGTATCTGTTGGCTCACACAGGGGTATCTCTGCCTTCAGGTGCAGCTGGATTTAAGGGCCCAAACAATGTCATCAGTTCCTGTTATCTCCAGCTCTGTTTGGCTTTGCTGTCAGTCTCTACGGATGAGCGAGAGAGCTGCCAGCTGGAAAAGTTCTTGCCTTTTTTTCAATAGGCCTTCCACAGCGGTAGGCGGAGTCTCGTTGGCTCTGGTCGGATCCAATACTGTCTTGGAAGTAGTGACCAGGACCAGAAGGAGGCACTCTTCCAGTCAGCCAGGCCTGAATCCCACGCCCACCCAGAGTACAGAGTCCACAGCACGTGAAAGACTGCCTGAGTGGCACTGGGACACTTTTCCTGAGAGATCGGGCAGCGGGTGGTACTTTCTGAGCGAGAAGTGCCCACGTGGCCTGAGGGCAGGTTTCCCTTCTACCCCACTGACATGATAAATTCATCCCCCTCCTCTCCTTCCAGCTCTGACTCTGGTGTCTCCGTCCAATAGCCGTTTTCTTTTGCATCGCTCATTTTAAATGTTACGAGGTAAACAGTGAAAAAGAATCGAATGGGCTTGACCCTGCTGGGTGTGGGCTTGTTTGGAACCCTGATCTTTTCCTCTTCCCGCCTCTGCCTTTGTGACTCTGCCCCATGCCTTGCCCACCCTGGCCTCACAGGTTCACGGATGAAGAATTTTGCCCTGGATGACCCACACCGTAGGTCTCTCACTGACTTAAATCATTTAGATGATGAGACTGGGACACTGAGTTGATATTTAGATGAGATTGTTAGAGCTGATGCTGAAATCGTTAAGCCCTTGGGGGATCTTGGGATGGGGTGAAGGTATTTTGCACCTGGAAGGACATGAATCTGGGGGAGGGCAGGCTGTTATGGATTGAATTGTGTCTTCCAGAAAGACATGTTGAAGCCCTAACTCTTGGTATCTGCGCACGTGGCCTTATTTGGAAACAGTCTTTGCAGATGTGATCAGGTTACAGGGAGGTCATACTGGGTTAGGGTTCGCCTAACCCCAATATGACCAGAGGCCTTATAAGGGGGAAATTCATACATGGACAGACACAGAGGCAGTAACAGAGATAGAGCTTGGCCTGATGCTTCCTCAAGCCACAGGGCATCTGGGCTCACTGAAAGCTAGAGGCAGCAAGGAGGGATTCTTTCTTCGGGGCTTTGGAGAGAGCCCGGCTCTGCCAACGCCTTGATTTCAGTTTCTGTGGCCTCCAGAGCTGAGAGAGTGAAGGTCTCTTGTTTGAAGCCCCACAGTTTGTGTTATTTCATTATTGGCAGCCCTTGGGGACTAGTACCGATTCTAGCCTGGCAATCGGTTTACTAAACGAACTATCTGTTGGATTGATGGCCATCAAAGCCTAAGTTAGAAAATGTGCAGACTGTCTGCAGCTCCTGGGACATGTCACCATCGCCAGCTTAAAACTTCCATTAGTCACTACGTGGAATATAAACATTTTCATTTTCCTTCTCCCTAATGTCCTCAGAAATTCAGATGTGAGAAAAATCATGATACGGCTCCTTCAAGCACTAAAATGATACCAAAACACTTCCCACACACAAAAAAAAACACACCCAAAGGATTCTTCAGATAACAGGAATGATGAAAAACATTACATACATTATAATAAACACTGCTAAGTATTATTTTAAACTGTATTCTTGGAGAGATGTAAGGCACACGGTATCAGTTTCAGGAGTAACTATGCTATTTCACCTTTTTGTGATTATTATAATGAGAGCGATTAAGAGAGCAGTCGTCTAATAGCGGCTTCACCGAGCTGATTGACAGATGAGGAGGCAGATGCACAAATGTGCCTCCGGCATCAGCTGCTGAACAAAAGGAAGCCTGTGAAGGTGGTGTCGTCATCCTCGTCGGCAAACAGGCCGTTAAACCTCTCCCTGCCCGCCGCCTGCAGCCACACCTCGTCCCCCAACTTCAGCTGCAGCACGATGCCCCCAGAGGCCTGGTCCTCCGAGCTCATGTACCCGTCCTTGGTGTGCAGTAGCTTTACCCCATTTTTGACCAAAGATACCCACACATTCCTGGAGAAAACAGTGATGTGGTAGGTGAAGTAATAGACCCCGGCAATGTGGCAAGTGAATTTCCCTGTGGCTACGTCAAAATGGTTGAATTCGTTATACAGGATTCTGTCAAATCTCACGGGTGCGTCTGAAGGAGGAAACTTGCTCAGCACCGTGAGCCCCACAGTGAAAGCACTTTTTGGCAAGACTGGCGTCTCACCGATTTTCCCTTTTTCTCCTCGATCCCCTTTCCAGCCTCTCATTCCCCGGACACCCGGCTCACCCTGGGGCCCCCAGGGTCCCACTTCTCCCTTGGGACCAGGCTTTCCAATAGGGCCTGTGGGGCCAGGCAAACCCATTGGGCCCGAAGGTCCGATGCTGCCCTGCGGCCCTTCTGGACCAAGGGGCCCCACATCACCTTTATTCCCCTTTTGCCCTTGGAGGCCAGCCTCTCCTCGGAGGCCCTTCTCTCCCATGGGACCAACGACTCCCTTCGGCCCATGTTTCCCGGGGGGTCCTCTGGAGCCTGGGTCACCTTTGATGCCTTTGGCGTCAACTCTGCCATCTGCTCCTGCGAGAGAATGAAGGAGGAGATGGTCTGTGAAGCACTACCTTGTGACAAGCAACTGTGGTTTTTCTATTACTGGGCCTACAAATGAGATAAAGCGGTGTACATGCTCAGTATATGCTCAGGGTTTGAAAATTAATTCATGCCTGAATTGTTCACATACACACACATGAAAAACACCTTTTGACTCCTGTCTACTAAGTTAGTGCCAGGTTTCACACTAGGAAATACAAGTCTTTACCACCTGAGTCTACTCTTCGGCCACTGAACACTGCCAGTCCTGGACAGGACACATCTTTTAGAACAGGGATCTGCAAAAGGCAGATGAGCTCAGGCTACTTGGAGGGAACTGACACGCAGCCTCTACGACATGTGATGTTCCCTAAAAAGTCCTCACTGAAGTGAACACTATGCAACATAAAGCCTTCAGCTCTGCACGTAGGTGGCGCTTCCCTGTTCCTTCCACCCTGACTGGAGAGAGGTGGTAACAAGCACGGATTCTGGAGTTAAACACCAGGATTCTATCCTGTCTCCACCACTTATGCACAATGGAACATGAGGCCGGCTGGTTAGCCACCCACCCTCTGTTCCTCGTCTGTGAGGCTGGGCTAATAATGCTACCTCGTTATAGGCAGTGCACGTAGAACAGCGCAGCCCTAAGGGAACGTTATACGTGTTTGCCACTTCTGCTCCCCACAGTGACAGCTGCCAGAGTCCCCTGCCCTTCAAGGGCCACCCTCTCCCTGCAGCATTGCCAGATGCCCTGAACCAGAATTCAGTGTCTCTCCTCAAAGCTCATCCACTGAATCAGGCTTCAGCAGCCAGTGGCCATGGGCCAGACCCAGCCTCCCGCCTGTCTGCAGAGCCCACAAACTAAGAATGATTCACATTTTTACATGGTCACAGATAATATTCCCCAATACATGAAAGTTATATAAAAATCGAATTTCCGTTTTCATAAATAGAATTTTGCTGGAATACAGCCCCACTGATTCATGCAGCACCTGTGACTGCTTTTTGTTGCAATGACAGGTTGAGTAATAGAGGCAGAGACCATGTGAGCCTAATCTGGTCCTTTATAGGAAAAGTTTGCCCATCTCTGCACTGAACCGTGAGTTCTGGAAAGCAAGAACTGTGTCCCTTTACCACCGGGTCAGCCTCAGAGCCTGGTGAAGACTTGTCCTCGGTGAGCACTAAATAATTATGGTGAAATCACTGATAGTTCAGAATCAGAGCTTGATAAAATGGAACAATTTCTGACCCCGCTCTCCTTTCTCTCCATTCATTCCATCCTTCCCTGGACCACCAGGCTGTCCGGGTTCTCCTAGGTGGAAAAGAAGAAAATAGACAAGAGTTAAAATTCCATCTGTGATTTTCTTAGACGTTGGTCTCAGTCAGCAGTGTAGACTGCAGAGTCCTGGGGTGACCCCAGTGCTGACACACTCTGCTTAGAGCCATGCAGGGGAATGAGCAGCAGGGTGCTGAGCAGTGTGAAAGAAGGGAGTTAGGAAAGGAACTGGGTGGGCTCCCCACACCCAGCCCCAGGGAATGTGCGGGCAAAGGACACAATCCGTTTTCCTCGGGGTGCCGGATGTTGAAGCGCAGGGTGGCTTCCTCACGTCTCCTCTGCTGTCACTCTTGCGGAGAGAGGTGGAGGGTTTACTACAGAGGAGCCGGCAAGGGCGCAGTTCCCCCCAGACTCCGGCTTCCCCCACAACAGCAGACACCCTGTGCTGCAGCCCCATAGACCCTGCTGAGGGTGACAGGGGCAGGCCGGGCCAGGTTCCAGGTCCACAAAGGACTGACACGGGCAGACTTGTGTCAGCGATAATGCCTGGTTCCCGGGGATGCCAGGCAGGGCGGGGCGCCTGCGCCCCCAAGCAGATGCTGGTGCCGTGGGGCTTCTGAGCCCCAGCGACCCCTACGTTCACCTCCTCCTCTCCATCCCTCTCACCCCCCTCACTGTCCTGCTCCAGGGTATAAGCCTTCCTTCCCTTCCTTCTTTCTGGTTTCCTTGCTTAATTCTCAGCTCTCCATTCTCTACAACAGGGGACCCCAGACTTTCATGACCATGCACCTCTAAGTAGCCAAGGGAGCATATGCTCCGATCCGTGTTCATTTGTGTACTTACAAATAATGTGCAGGTGATGTTCTAAAAATGTGTTTTATATAAAACACACTCATGAATACATTTGAAGAGGGTAAGATAAAGATGAAGTTAATTTTTAGTATGAGAAATGTGGCTGAATATGCTTCTAAGAAACATGTTATATATAATATATATAAATTCTATACCAAACACATACGCTGTGAAGAAATACGTATAACTTGAAAGAACGGATACTAATGCGGAAGAAGGAGAGAGGATCAAAAGGAGGGAAAACAGAGAGATTTGGTGTTGGATATATGAGCATTTGTCTCTATTTTTTGTCTATCTTTTATGTCCTTTTGTGTATATAAATTATTTTATACTAAAACTTTTTATATTAAAATTTCATCTATTTGGAAATAAATCACACAAACACCGCGACTCTTGAGTCAGAGAGAAAGAAGGACACCAGAAGGTGAGACTCGATCACCTCATCCCACCCAGCTCGGCTGGCTGGAAGTGTGCTGAGCTGCAGAAACGCTGCCTGGGGACTGCAGCTAAGCATGCCCAGAGATTTGTAGAGACAGCTAGACTGTGACTCCGGGGGCCTGAGGCCATGACTCTTGCCCGACTCTCAGTGGGCAGAGTGTAAATCAGAAGCTCTGAAGCTGCGTGAATGATGAGCACAGAGGACGGCTGCCCTGGGGACGCCGCTGCTTCCTGCGTCTGGAGGGCAAAGGCTTTGAGTTTTGTGCAGACTGGGTGGGGGCCTCCAGAGCCAGGCCAGCTGCCAAGGAGAGCATTTGTGAAGAAATGGGAGGCATTCAGATGCAGCTGGACAATGACTGCATTGTCCACTCCAAGGAATGGTGCAGAAGCAGGTCCACCAAAAAGCCACAAAGAAACCTACAGGAAAAAAGCCAGCATCGGGCCATCTTCCTCAGAGGGCACCAAGGTCAGGTTTGAATGGTGCCAGCCAAGTGGTATCTTCTGCACCTCTTCTCCCTGCCCAGCCTGTCTCTGGGCTGTCCTTGCACTGAGGAAGGAGAGTGGAAGAGAAAGGTGGAGGAAGTGTGAAGACACGTACACATCCTGTACACATGCACACACACTGTGGTCCCCAAGGTTGGGTAGAAGAATGGATTTCATTACGATTGAGGTTTTGCCATTCGCTTGAACTGGCCTTTTCACAACAGAATTGAGATAGGTCTAGTGCCTAAAAGGGACAGGGACGAACTGGTGATGCCATGAAGCAGGTGCCATGAAGCAGACTTGTAGGGCGATGGTTGGAGAGAAATGACATTGCTGCTTCCTAGTGACCCTCTGCCTCAAGCACCTATCCAATAATCCTGCTAGGCCACCAAATGCCACGAGCAGAGAAACACCTAGAAACATCCAGACTTCCATTCATCTCAGGCAGACCTCCCACACTAAGTCATGTGTTCTAATACTTCTTTCTCCCAATCTTAATAAAGGCTTTTTAAACACCCATATCCCACAGTGTTTTTGGACAAACCATTAATTTTGGTCCATTCTGAAATTGCTGTGTATTATTTCAACCATTTTTAATACAACCAGAGGAATATCTACTCTTCTGATACGATTAAGTAGTCTCAAAAGAGGCTTCCGAAGGTTTATCCATCCTTAAGGCATGGGGCTGTTTTTATACTACTTAGTGTACTGCTGAAAAAAGTATGACAGTTGGTATTCATGTTCCACAGAGTCCTGAATGCCTGATTAATTGGGGTGCTTTTTTCTATTAGTAACTGATATGTCCTGGTACAATTTACAGTTAGGATGAAGTTCATTTTAATGAATGCAAGTGTAAATTCATATTTACACTTTAAGACCCAAAGTCTTAATAAGGTTTTTGCTCTGCTATAGTCACGTGGTGCTTGAAGGCCTGCATTATCTGGCCCACCTTCAGTTCTCTGCTTCTTTGCAGTTTCTTAGGCACCCACCTGTTTGTGGTGGTTCCACATTATAATCTGAAAACTCCCCCAGCCAGGGCCCAGACACCTGCAACGTGCCAGAGCTCACTGAATATCTGAACACGTGAGGGCTCCCGGCCTGGTGTGCACACCGTGGGGCTCCCGTCCTTCCCACGGGACCCACTGCATGCCTCCCAGGACACGTGCCCATCTGCAGATGGACGAAGTGAGGCCACCCATGCCAATTCATATGTGAAATATTTTTAAAGCTCAATTTTATCTTTTAAAATATCAATAGAGGCTTTGATGTTTTCTTCCTGTGCCAGACAGACCAGGCTGCTCATGTCTTAGGTATGTAACCTTACAGTCAGACCAGGGTTCAAGAACCCTGTTCGAAAAGTAAGCCTCTCTAATTAAGCTGGTGTCACGGAAACCATGCACACATCCTGCTTTTTGCAAGATCTCCTTCCCGGGGGCTGGATCCTGTCCCCAAATCCCCAAGCCCTGGGGCAGGTCCCAACATACGGCATAGACACTTAGTCAGTCACTGCGTGGCCTCAGTTTATCACCCGTTTTTCTGTTCTCTGTTGCTCTGCATCATCTGCTCTACAACACGGCAAGTTGTCACCTCTCACCTGCGCTGTTGCTGAGTGCAACCAGGTCCTCCCACAGGCCCGTGTGCCGGGGATCCATCATGCCTATCATCTGAAGCAGAAAGACCTGAACTCCTGACAAGGGTCCAGTATCAGAGATGCTGGCTGACAACCAGCCCGCCCCACTGGAGGAGGAAGCCCATGAGGCCGGGGCTGCTGGGCCCCCGGCGCCTCGCTCGGGGCCTGGCATGGAGCAGGCTCTCAGTGTTTCCTGGGTATGGGTGGGTGAATGGAGGAGGGGTGAGCAGGTAGGTGATGAATGAGTGAGGAAGGCCAAAGGGGTGCGCAGACAAAGGGAAGGGCAGCTGGAAGCCGCCGTGGGCGAGTACCTGCTTCCCCTTTGTCTCCCTTCGCTCCGTCTCGCCCATCTCTTCCAGGCAAACCGTTGTGACCAGGATTCCCAGGGATGCCAGAGTGCCCTTGCCTGCACGTGTCCTGGGATGCCACGCTCCCTGCGCAGACTCCCACAGCAAGCAGGAGCCACCAGGCCCTCATGGTGACGACAGAGCTGAACTGAAAAGGGGAACACACATTGGATGGAGAAGCCCTTGTTGCTGGGGCTGCAGACACAGCCTGTGCCCTTGGCAGTGGGGAACGGACCCGCCCCTGGTCAGGCTTGGACAGAACGGCCGGGCCAGGCAAGGGCGCAAGCTGGTAGCGGGCAAAGCCACTCACAGTCGGAAGGAACACGTGTGATCGGGACACCGTCAATGGTGAGTGAGCAAGGGGAAAGCCGATTCCAAGCCAGGGGACATTTCACTGTGGGCAGAGCATTTGTTTGCAGCCAGAGAAGAGTAAGACTTCACTCACAGGACTGCTGTAAAAAACAAATTTGATTACAATTTTGCACGAAGGTCCATTTTGAATAGTAAAACAGAATGAGCATTTGATCCAGCGATCCCAGCTCTGGGTGTGCACGCAGAAGAACTGGAAGCGGGGACTCCAGGAGACACCTGGACACCCATGTTCACAGCATAACTACTCACAACAGCCAAAAGGTGGAAGCAACCCGCCTGTCCCGACACAGGAATGAGTGGACAAAATGTGGTATTATCCATACAGTGGAATATTATTAAGTCTTTAAAAGGAAGGAGATTGTGACACATGCTACGACCTAGAGGAAGCTTGAGAACAGTATGTTCAGTGAAATAAGCCAGACACAAAAGGAAAGATACTGTATATAATTCCATTCCTGTGGTCTATCTTGAAGAGGCAAATTTACCGAGACGGAATGTGGAGTGGCGGCCGCCAGGGGGCAGGGGAGGGACGGACGGGGAGTCGGTGGTTAGTTGGGACAGAGCTTCGGTTTGGGAAGATGATGCTGTGGAGACAGACAACGGAGAGAGCTGCACACAATGCGAATGTGCTTAGTGCCCCTGAGCTGGACACTTACAAGTGGTGAATGTGGTAAATTTTATGTTATGCATAGTTTACCATCATAAAAAATAAAATTAAACTTAGAAAACCAGTGTAGTGTGTTGCAAGTGGTCCTTCGATGACTGGCTGCACTCTTCGGGTTAAGGTTTTATTTTTACAGGAGGCCACTGGGAGAAAGGGCATGCAGTTGGAAAACGGCACTTCCAGCGCCCCCCTCAAGTTATTGATTTGCTTTCTAACCTCATCAAGAGCCAAGACAACACTGGGGAGGAGGTGGGGGCAGGTCTGAAGGAGAGGAGTTAACTAGATAAAGCGTACTAGACAAAAAAACCTCCCAGGCACACCCGGCAGCAGTATGAAAACACACATCTGCAAGGAGCCCCATGGCCAGGCACATCCCCCCATGGTGGGGCACCCAGCCCCTCGCTTTCATGGCACCAGTCAGAGTATCAAGGGTATGTTCATTTACATGATTGTGTAACTAAAAATCTGGCTTCCCATCTAACTGTATTGTCCTCAGTATTGAACCTAGCCCTTAATATAAAGTCTGGAACGGCAGGTTGAATAAATGTGTTGAATGAAATGAATGTTACCACGGCAGATACCTCAGGACTTACAAAGAAATAATGACAGAAGGCTAGTGCACCTGCTCAGAATCCAGACCCTCACACAGGGCTGAAGGCCATGCACATCTGTGCGGCCCTTTGGAAACTTTGAGAGAAAAAAAGTCCATGTCTTTGACCCAGTAATCCCTAAAATTCTTAATAATGCAAAATTTGAGTGCCAGAGATAATAACCACAGCCTTACACGTAATAGGAAAAAAGTGTATACTACAGAATGTGCAATGATAAGTAGTTCAGTAAGCAGAATATTATGTAATTAGTAATTATGGAAGTCATGTAGAAACATGCAAGTGTAATTTTTTAAAAGTTGACTTAAATGCCATGCACATTATGACTGTACCTATGTAATTACATATGCATACAGCCAAAAACTAGAAGCAAATATATCCAAATAAGCATGGCTGCTTTAGAATGCTGGGGTCATGGGAGTGTTTCCATTTGAAAAGATGCTTTTTTACAGTGTCTATAAAGATATTTCTAGATACATGTATTTTTAAAACCAGCTGGATTCTGTCATCTATACAATTATATATCCATCTAATGGAGCCTCTAACACATCACAGGGTCCAGTCTGATGCAAACAGAATATTTTTGGAAAAGGAAATACAGATGTTTCCCTTTTAAGTCACAAACTTATGCCACTTCAGGAAATTGAGTTGAACTTTCCTAGAGCTGAATTCCGTAAGTAATGTACACCAGCCTCTTTTGTTTAACTCAGAAGTGGCTGGTAGTCGTCAAATCTAAACTGCAGAGATCACCTCTGTTAGGGGGGCTATGTTTTTCCTTTTCAATTATTTTCAAAATGTGTGCTACAATTATTCCAATACTAAAATGATCACAAAATCAGGAAGGTGTCAAATTGGAATAAACTCTGTAACTCTTTCCCTAGTTGTGCCCGCTTCACATAGGCAGGGATTTTGTTCAGCTTGCTCATCCCTCATGCCCAGCATGTAGACAAGCTCCAAATGATTTTGAATAATTGAAAATGCTTTGCTTCCAAATAAGTGGTGAAAAGAGTTGTAGCATTATCTCTAATAAGGAAAGCTAGAAGAGGGACATGAGGAATTGGACGAGGAAAATACAAATTATATTAATATGTCATCTAAAAAAATGAATTACATGTGTGCTGCTCACAAACCCATAGGTTGGATCCTCAGGCACATGAGTTCAGCCACAGTTAATATGCTCAACTTTTAATTCCTATCTGGTGTTTCTCCAGAATGTACTAGAACTAGGACCCACATTCAGCTCCCATCCTTCCCAGCCACCCTCCCTTCCCCACTCCCTCTTCTCTTATCCGGATTGCTGCTCCCACCTGCACCTGTTCTCCTCCAGCACCTACACTGGGGATCACATATTAGGCACCAGCCTAGGTTATCATTTTTTGAAGATAGCAGCTGCATCTCTCCACTTTCTTGTTTTCAACATCACAGTCAAATACTTGTTGAATGATTGAATGAATGAAAGAAAAAGGAAAGGAGGGAAGGGAAAGAAAAGGAAAGGAAAAGAAGGAAAACGAAAAAGAAAAAGTATTATCCTAGTTCTCACTGTGTACACATCACCCCACAGGAAGGTGACTGGGTATTAATCGAATCCTGTCAGTGCTTCTGGTGGAGAACCCTGGTTTCCCCAGCACCTCTTCTCACCTTCCTTCAGGGAACAGAAATTCTAGCTAGCATGTGGCTGCCCACAACAGACTACATTCCCCAGCCTCCCCTGCAGCCCAGCTACCACCATGAAACTAGAGTCTAGCCAGCAGGAAGGGAGCAAAAAGGATATGGGCATCTTGGGGACTGTGACCTTAAAGGGAAGGGGTGTGACCCTCTTCCTGTGACTGAGGTGTGCACGGTGGCTCACCACCGTGCACACCTACGTTAGACTCTCCAAGGGACTGCACTTGGGGGATAGAAAAATCCTGGTCTCTGGGGACTGCACAGACCAGCCCCGCCCTATCAGCACAGTTCTGACGTGAGGAAGAAACGCATGACTAACTTGCTTAACACACAGTTTGGGGTGTCTTGTACATACAGCTAAGCCTGTATCTTGATGAAGTCAGGACTTCTACTGTCAAAGATGTAGGCACACATCCAGTGAGGAAGGTTTATGGGCATCTATAATCAGTTAGCCCCATAGCAGAGCTGCTGAGAACTCACTGGGAATACAAACCAACAACATATTTAAAAGCCAACAGTAGTCACTGCCTTGGATAGACAAAATAATCAATGTGAATGGATGTAGTCCTTCTGCTGAGTGTTGAGTTCAGCCGAACTGCTGGCATCTTGTAAAACTGACCTGCTGACATGGTTAGGGGCACCAGGACACAGTCTACAAATGACTTTGGAGACCCAAATAAAATATTTCTGGGTTGTCTCTCCTAAACTTAACTTATATTTCTCCTTCACTGTTGGATTTCTTCTGATTTTCTACAAGGACGTCATAACCAAGATGAATGGTTTCTGCACTTCAAGATTCTTAACTTCTCCCCACTATGATTTAATGAAGACCTGCCTGAGCCCAGCTGGGTAATCTTTACTGGGTGTCCAAATCCCCTCTGGGCCTCTGCTTCCCTGTGCATAGAGAGCAAGGGATGAACTGATCCCCGATATCCCTCCTAGATTTGAGTTTAAAAATCTAAAAATCTCAAAGCTTTTTTCATTGACTACATTTTCTTCCATGTGCTCTATACATTGTGCACTTTATGCATTTCTTCTTCAACATATGTTAAGGGCTTGTTTTTAAACTATGCAATGTAAATAAGTATAAAATAAATATAAAATATACACATTAACATTTGTGCAAAATGTGAGCTTCTCTAGAAATTTCTCTAGAAAGGTCTGCTCTTCCTGTGATTTATTCCAACCCTCCTCCCAACCTGTTTGCAGAATCCTGGCAGAAGAATCTCAAAATCTGCTTTTATCTCTTTAGTCCCTTGCTCAAAAGTGAATTTTGGAACTGGCTAACTCTTTTCCTACCCCAAACTCTATAGACATCTGCCTACTTTGCAAACAACTAAGCAGGATTATCACACATTGATAATAGAACAGTTTGTTGTAGACCTCAAAAGCCTTGAGTTGAGTTTAAAGGAATTGTTTCCTAATGCACTTACCTGAATCCCAGGGCTGCAGGCTGCACTCAGGTGCTGCGCAAACCAGGAATCAAGGGCGAACTAAATAAAATCGCACCTTCCTGCCACACAATTCCCTTGTGGATATATCAGCAAAACAGCAGGAAGGGGAGGGAACAGAGCAAAGCACAAGATGTGTCTTGGAAGAACTTCAAGAATGGCAGCAACACTGGAATCAGGTAGCATCTTCCACTTGTTCAGAAAACTTAGCTCCTTTTTTTCCCGTCCTTTTAAATAGTGAGAGAGATCAAGGTACACCTTGACGTGGAGCCTGGAGGAAGGAATTCCCACTGCGGGTTTCCTTCCTGGAAGTACCATCTGTGCCCTTTCCTCGCTCAGCCCCTCGGCGGACCTTGGGTCAGTTACGGGCCAACAGGACAAATCTGCAGGCGAACAGGTATTCGGACTCAGCCATTAGGACCGACATCACTAACTAGGATCTTTCAAACCTCTGTATGCTTCCTTTCATTGGGGCATTTGTGCACACGAAATCTAATGCCCATCTCTTCACGCATACACATGCCTACCTGCCACTGAGAAGAACATGGTGAGGCTACGTTTCCAATGCCATATCATCACTGATTTTTAAATTTTCCTGATCAGTGTCCATGAACACTGACCTCTAACTTAAAGATAGCCTCAAGAGGACAGGTGCGCCCAACACGGTGCCTCGCAGGCACCCAGCCCTGAGCGGATTGCAGAGGCCACTTGACAGTGGTGTACATGGGGCAATCCCATTTAAAAGAGGTACCTCCCCCACCCACTGCCTCAGTTTCCTCATCCATAGCAGGGCAGAGGCAAGGGTCAATAGTGTGCGAAAGTCAGGCTGGTTTCTCCCGGTTCTGACCTCCAGTCCTCCCTTCTTGGGACCCTGGCCCCCAGTGGCCGTCCATGCTGTCCCCACCGGGTTTACCAGCTGGCCCTTCCCCCTGCTTTGCCCGCCTCTCCCACCCAGCTCACCCCCACCCCAGGCTCTGCCCCCATTCCCTTCCTCCAGGCTGTCCTCCGTGGGGTTCCCAAGCCCGTCCTTTCCAGCTGCCCCCTGGCTCACTCCATCCTGCAGCCTGGCCTCCATTGCTCCTGAGGTGTGCAGTGCACTGCACTAATGACTGGACAGAACTGCCCAGCACTCTCAACACTGAGTTCCCACCTGCTGCCCGCCACACTGTCCCAGGATGGCACTGGGCCCACCCGCCGCCCGTGGCAGACCCTGGGAACCGCCATCTCCTCTGGACACCCGGGTGCTGGCTCAGAATCCCACACACCAGCCTCGCTGTCCCCCTGGGCGCCGTCTCCCACATCGTCTCCCTGCCTTGCATTGCACCTGTCCTTTCCTCTGCCACCGCAGTGAGCTGATCTGGCAGCAGCTTTCCTGCCCTTAACTGCCTACAAGCCCACCCCCACCCTCAGGACCCTCCTTCCTGGGCCACCTCTTGCGGGACAGTCACCAGAGATGCTGGGTCTCCGAAGCCCTTTCGTAACGCCTGCACCCTGCTGTCGCACAATTCGCGTGGGGTCTTGATTACACACGTGTCTTCCCTCTCTGACCACGTGCTCCACGGTGTAGGGCAGGCGGTACATCTCTGGGGGGGCATCTGCACCACGGCTCTTCTGAGAAATCACACTGCCCTCCAGATTCACTCGGAACCATGTGTTGGCCGTGTAAGTTACCTTGTGAGAGGCAGACTTTTGGGTTCCTTGTGCTTTCACCCTCCTCCAGGCCCCTGAGATAAGCCCTCTCTTTCAGTCCAGGGTGCCAGATCAGCTTGAGAAGAAGGTGGATGTTAAGAGTAAACAAAAAATGAGGACTAGCTGCTTGGCAACCTTTATAGGAACTGACTACAGTCACAGCAAACAATGGGCTATTTACTTTTCTTCTGAGCTGTTAGAGAAGGAAATTCTTATCTACCCCACCCCCCAAGGATAAGTAAGCCAGCCTAGGGCCACCAGCAGATCTGAGTGGGGGGCCTGATTTCCTGGGGCCAGCTGCTGTGGAGTGACAGGTGTATGAAGGCATGTCCTATGTTCTGTTCATTTCCCTTCCACTGTGAGCAGCTAGAGCAGCTGCTACAAAAGAGGACTTCTCATCTCCAGTTTGGGTTTTATCTGTCTTAATCCAAGTGTTCCTGACATTTTCCAAGTCAAGCGGCACCTCTCAGTCCCCTCAGAGTCGTCTGTCTTTCTTTGTCCCACCAGCTAGCCAACCTAGCTAGAGGTTTGATCCAGCTCAGTGACGGATGAGTCTTTACTGAAAAGAAGTCTACTGCTGTCCAGCATTTATAGCAGGCAATGAGCTACGAATTCCATAAACCCTCCTAGGACTCATTCTCCATTAAAAAAAAAAAATCTATCTTACTTTACTATTCAAATGTATTCCTAAAACCAATTTGGCAAATTAATTTTAATATACAGATACAAAACAACAAATATAGATTCACATCATTTACAATAAATCATTCAAATAACATTGTAGATACTTTTTTTTTTTTTTTTTTTTTTTTACAAAAACTTCATTCAACAAAAATACACATCAGGTTCAAGTGGTCCTGTACAACACACTTCAGCTGTCAGCAGCTGGTTCATCAGTTTGGAAGCTGTCACTTGACATCTACAGATAACATTGTCTTGTTGCTGATCAGTTCAATTTAAAGGAAAAGGTCACCAAAAGCTTTGCAGAGGAGGTAAGTCAAGCACAATTGATACTAATATTTATAAAAAGGACCAATTATTAAAGTATAGAACCAGTTAAAGTATTTTCTAATTACAAATGTCAGTTCCCATGAAATAACTAATGGAAAGAATAAAGCTAACTGTTGTAGCTAAGTACATTTGCATCAGATATTTAAGCTTGTGGTTTTTGGTTTGTTTTGTTTCAAGATCAGATTTTGTTTTTCAAAATCTTTTGAACTCCACTTTCACTGCATCCATCCTGAGAACATCAGTCAAGTAAAATTTTAATAAGGGGAACAACTCGTAGGTTGAGCTTATTATAGGAAAAACTGTTTTTGCAGTTTGACGCAGCTGATCTGTGTCCGGCATATCCCTGGCCTGCAAGCCCCTGAAAGGACGTTTATCCACACCTGTTAGCACTGTGTGCTGAGGGACATAGCTGTTTTATCTTTTCCTCAACAAAATAGTACAGCAATTTTCTCCCTAACTCCAGGTATCAGGCTGTTTCTCTTGTGGTAGGTAACTTAAGTTGATTGGCATTGAGATCAACAATTTGGGCATGTGGAGATTTCCAATTGGTAAAATGCTGGGTGATCATGTCGTGGCTTTTACAAACGATTTCTGTTATGAAACAAACTGTGATACACGCACTTAGGCTTTGTGTCTAGACAACGGCAATGTTGTATGGAAGGGATTTTCTGGACAACAGGAAGTGTTGGGATTAGGTATAAAAAGGCCTAACGATATTCAGAAATAGTGTGGAGATGGGAGTGAAATGTTTTCAACGACAAAGTCAGATTTAGCAGGGGAAAAACTATGCAGATGGTTTATGCAAAACTACCTCAGGAAAGCTCTGGCAAATTGCTGTCACTCTTTTTCTAGCTTGCAGATCAAAGATAAAGTGTGCTGTGTCCCCAGGGTTTTATAAACATTCTATCTCATGACTGTTTAAATCTACTGCAAGGTCGTTGTAGAGTTTAGGTGTGATCAAAATTTAAAAGGTTGCTTTTGACTCCAGGCCATTTCAGCTGTTTTCAACAGAGCTGGCCAATTCTGAACCATGAACGATGAAGTAGGTGGGATTCATCAAAACGTTACGCCATCTCTGTCTTTCTCTATTTTTTGGTCCACCCATTATTATGCAATGTAGGGTTATAAAGAGAGAAAGCCAGATTCCCATTGAAATTCACACATAATCCATAGAGTTGGTTCTTTGTTCTTTTTCTTTCCAAGTGGAACATTTGACCTGAATCAAGAAGAAAGGTTGGCAAACTTAAAGTTAGAATACTTGAGTCAACTATTCTTTATAGAACTCAGGCCTTTGGCAATAAAACTCAAGCTAGACGTAGATATTTAAAGAAGTCAAAGGATATTCTATCCTTTTATAAATATTTAGCAGTTTTCAAGATACCCGAAAATCCAAGCAGGCTCCATTCAGGATGGGTGTCTCATCAAGTGGCCCACACACTGTACAGAGCTGATGGGGGCGGGGAGGGGGGCAGCCCTGGACTCGGACGTGCCCCAGCGTCCGTGCTTCCTGCTTCTGTGAAGGAGCCCACAAGGGACAGGTGGGGACCAGAAGTTGGGACTCGGCCAGGAAGTACATCAGGACTGGTCACAGGAGGTAAAGCACTTCTTCACTGCCCATCAGCAAGTATTAAACCAGGGAAGCCCTCTGAGTGCGGCTTTACTTGAATTTGAATGGATCCTCACTGAAAATGTAACATCAGCCAATGTTTCTCTTTTCTTCCCTAATTTTCTTATACTGTATTTTAAAAAAACCTCTTTAAACTTGCTGTATACACAAACAACTCTGTTTAGCACAGAGACCCCTGCAGTTATTGCTGAGGGGTCTAGGAAAGCATATTAAGTGTAGTTTTCAAAATATATAACTGTATTTTGTTAGTAAAAAGGTCAGTTATATAAATGCAACTAAAATGTAGATGTCTGTTCAAAAAGGAAACACGTACGCACACGCATGCACTCACACACACGTGGAGCCGCAGCACCTCCTGAGAAGCCTCCTCACAGAAGCAGCCTCCGTCCCCCACACACTGGGTCAAGGTTGACAGAAGCTGATGAGGGCTCTTGGCCACAGAGCAGTACAACCTCCCAGCAGCACTGCCTCTAAGTGAACATGTCGAGGTGGCAGAGCAGGGTCCCGAACAGTGAGAGTTCCTGACAACTTGTCACTTAAGGTCCACCTGACAGATACAGGCTCATGTCTCCTTGATATGCGATGTCACCTCCTTCGGGGCCAGGTCTGGGTATGGGGAAGGTGGAGGAGAATAGAGGCTTAGGTCACACCTCTGCCTGTGATATTACAGGTTAGTTCATTCCCAAGTGTGGGCCTGTTAGAACTTTCCAAGAGCAGCACACAAAGAGATTCTCAAATAGAAAACCACAGACTGTGTAATATACCACCACGCCTCCCGTGCACTAGGTGCATTTAAATAGCATCTCTCTCACAGATCCTGTCTTCTCCATACATATTTATCAAAATTCACACAAAGATGAGATTAGTATTTACAGATGTCAGCCCATGTAGCCTTTGTTAGAAAAGACAGAGTCTAGATGTTTTTTGTAAAGGTCTCTTTTATAAAGAATGAATCTTAGAAACCTGTTGACATGCTAATAGTGGCATGGTTAACACCCCTGGTTTGGGTTTATGCAACAGTCAGCTTCAAAGCCAGAGGAAGCTGAGCTGCTCTGACCCTCATGCCTTCCCAGCGGAATGGAATTATCATTGTAGTTGACCCAGTCAGGGCACCAGAAACAACCAATGGCGAGAGCACATCACTGTCTTTAAGAGTGCCTTTCAACTGGAGCAACTGCAGGTTTGTGTTACCATAAAATTAAAGAAAATGGGTTTTACACTGCAAATGGGTCTGAACAGACTTCCTCAGGACATGCGAGCAGTCATTATTTCTGCTCCTGGAGTCAGATGCCGCACTCCGGCAGGGGAGCACCCGACTTGAGAAGCACAAACCCACCTGGTGGTGGGACTTTGCACTCCCTGCCTTGAAAGTAGCTGAATCTTCAGAATGCTCAAGTCACTCCCCAGGGTGCACTGCACAGGCGAGTGCACCTGCTTCCCCGGACCCTGGTGGGGTGGGGGGGATCCTTGCAGGAGGAAGCCTGTAGACCACGCGCTGACGGCAGTGTAAGGCCCCTGGCACCACGGCCCCCGCGTGTCAGCGAGAGGCAGCAGCGCCGGCCCACTGCTGTTCCCATCAAAGTCAAATGCAACAGCAGCCTTGAGTCCAGGCCTCCCTCGGGAACGGACACTCCCAGCTCCCCAGGCTTGTGCTGCGGTGCACTCAACGGCACTGCCTGCTGGGGTCACTCACTCGAGAGCATGTCACTGGCTCCCAAGCCTCAGCCACCACAGTGCAGGCCACAGAGGGCTCCGTGTGCCTTGGAGCTCGGCGCCATGACTTCCGGCCACTGTCCCAGGAGGCAGCTGGGTCCCTGAAGATATAAGGTGAGTCCAAATCCTGCTTTGGTTATTGACCTCTGTAAGAAGTTTTCAGCCCTGGGCCCAACATGCTTCTTTCCTTGGATTTAGTCACATGGAACAGAAACGGTTCTGCTCTCCGCAGCCAGGTCAGTGGGAGGGCGGCCGTGTGGTTTCACTTCTTGAAAGGTGTGAGCTTATTGAAAGTGTGCCAGAACAGCGAGGGCTTCCTCTTGGGCTCTGCCAGGGCAAAGACCTGCTGCTGTGGGACGCTGGTGGGCACAGTGATGTGGCGCTGGTGAAGGGGGTGGAAGCTCTGGGGCGGCGGGGCTGCGGGGCATCCGCTGTAGCCTGACTCGAGAGAGGAGGAGGAGACATGGATGGGGGTCAAGTTAACCGAAATGGAAAAATAGTGCCAAGACTCAGGAGTTCCCAGCTGCTTCTCAATTCATATTAACCAGAAGTACATCTAAGAGCTATGACAACGCTTCTCATGTTCAGATCCGGCGTGTGGAGCCGAGCCTCGGATGACCTCTTTGAATCCCCCCAGAAACCCTCCAGGGAGGGTACCATTACCGCAGAGTGACCCCTAAGGAGACCGCAGCCCAGAGAGGCCGGGTAAACCAGCCCTGGTCACAAGGTAGCAGTGGCAGAAGATGGCAGGGATGCTACTTAGGATGAGCAGCAAGAAAAGGCTTCCAACGGCAGCGAGGAGCGCACACCCGCCTCGGCCCTGGCCCGACCCTGCCACCTGCTGGCTGTGATTCCCGGGCCGGCTCCTTGACTTCTCCCTCTGAGCCTGGTCATCTACATGGCGGGTAACAGCACCGCCCAGCTGCTGGGAGGATTAGAATTAATAGTAACGTGCTTGGAAGAGTCCTCCAGACACCGATTCACTTTGATCAAGGTGTTTCATTAGAGCGGCACTTTAAATCTGTGCCGAGATAATCAAAAAGGCTCATGGACACCAGGCCCAAGGTCACGAGCTCACTGTGAAAGTGAGCATTGAGATGAGGAGGAGTGAGGGTTTGGAAGGGACCAGGACTCCGGTCAGAACGCAGCCTTGCCCTTGACGGGCCACAAGGCTTTCCTGCTCCTGCAGGGGCAGATGGAGGATGAGAAGGCAGCGCCTGGCCAGTGCCCGGCAGGTGAGCGCCCACAGACCTTAGTGTCCCTTCCTTTCCGCTCCTCAGGGGCCCGGGGCTGAGCCAGTGACTCTTGGAAGATACAGACAGAAACTAACGAACTAAAGAAACTGGTATTCACTACTGACCTGCCATGAAAAGGAGATGCATAAAAGAAAATGGATTTTCCTGCCTTCAAGATATTTTTAACGTAGTGGGGGAAAATAATGCATTTGGGGGAAGGGAGCAGGGGAACGCTCGGTGTGCTTTTGGTGATGAATTCTTTTGGGTCCACCAGCTAACGGCGCATCACAGTCCTGGGCTTAACACGTCCTCGGTGGTGCATTTTCAGTCAGAAAAATACTAATACTGAGTGGGAACTAATGTCATAGGATGAATACTTCTTAGAATAGAAAGTCAATCTGAATAAAGTTTCTAAGAATATCACACATATTTTTGGATTAAAAGTCATTATTTCATTCCCATTGGCCTAGATCCTTTGTTACCCACCCCGCGGAAAGTGTTTGCACATCAGGACCCTGGTGTGGGTGACCTTGGCACTGACATTTTTAAATAGCTGCCCAGGTAATTCTAACGGGCATGAAGGGCAGAGAACCCTGCTGTAAATAAGCTAGTGGGTCTTCTTTTTACTCACCGCTTGACATCCTGAACTCTAGACCCCTTTTTCTACCTCACTGGAATGTAGCCTGTACTGAGTTCTGAGGAGCCATTCAGGACTGGAACTTCCTCGTCACGTGTCAAAGCAGCAAAAGGGGTTTGCTGGTCTGCCTCTGACCAGCCAGGTGGCCTGGTGGGTGACACCAGCACTTCCTCAGAAGGGGGAGCTGGAGAGGGGTGTGGGCAGGACGAGAAGGGCTGGACGCTCTTTGGACCAATTCAAACCACATTTATACACTCATATTAAAATGTGAGCAAATACCAGAGCCGACTCAAAGGCAAATGCAGTCACTCTACACCGCCCATTAGTCGGCTCTATCATTTTGAGTTTCACCCATTCGTCTCTCCATCATTTGGAGTTGGTCATAGACTAACAACTTTGTGCATTTCTCCTGATTTTAATTACAAAACTGATCTGTATTGAGACAGACTTCTCCAAAACTTACCTTTTGACTTTCCATGTCCTGCTTTTTGGGCATTTAACATGGCAAGTTTCTTTTGATTTTCTGAAATTTCCATTCCTGGATTTTGAAACAAATGTGACATACAGTCAAAACAAGTGACGTTTGAGAATAACACTGCCCCACACCCATATTAGCTCTCAGGTATTCCCCATAACCCACAGCGAGGAACCTTAATCTTCAAGGAACTATGAGAGGCTGAAAAGGAGGAGTAGCAAGAATTGTCACTAGGGTGCTGGCACAGTTACCCTCCCGAGCAGGACACTGTGATAGAGAGTGAAATGGGTGCTGCTGGTAACGACATACAAACTACAGATGTTCCTATAGGGAAGGATGAGGCCCTGGGATGAGGGGACAAATCAAAGGGTTCCCAGGCTCAGCTCACCTTCCTGCTGTGGGTGAGCCTGAGGAATGGGCACTGGAGAGTGTGCCCCCACCAGAGACAGTGTGTGCCTTAACCCCCCTTACACCGTGAGGTCCTGCAGTGGCAAGGTCTGCATGCTGTGAGCCGCATGGAGACAGGTGGCAGGACACAGGACAAGCCATGGCCCGATGGGGACAGCAGAGGACCAAGCACTGAGTGCCGGGGTGGCTCCCCACCCTCACAGAAGGAGACCCGCTTTGCCCCACAGCTGCTCCACTGCCTGGGGCCACGTACCAGGGCTCACCCTCCCCCTTCTCACCCTCTGCCACCAACGGGTCCTGTGGCCCCCTGGCTCTCCTGCCCTCGGCACAGCCCGGCCTCCTGCCCCATTCCCATGCTTGAACCCAGCCCAGTTCATGGCTGAGATCCAGGATCCATGTGCACGAGGAGTTCCATGCACCTGGACACACAAGACATGCCTGGCAAGGGCCTGCCTGGTCCTGCTTTGTTCCACGCTCACCCACTGCCCAGACCCCAAGGCCCCAGGAGTGCCACACCAGCACCACCCATTCATTCACGCACCCTCCGAGGACCAGCGAGGGGGAAGCGCTGTGCTGCAGCGGTGTGAATCAGGCCGGGTGGCGGCTGAGGAGTGTTTAGAATGTCCCCTGTATTTCTCAGGGAAACTGAAACACTCCAACTTAAAAATGACTTCAGCGCCTGCGCCAGACACTGTTTTGCCTGCCAGTTCAGAGCGTTTCAGAGGGGATTTCTGCCCTGACTGACTGGTAAATCCCGTCCTACGCCAACACTGGACCCCATGAAACCTCCCGGCGCTCCGGACCCACATCTGCCGCGAAGCATGGGGCAGGTGCCACACAGCCTGGGGGAGCGGGGACCACCCCCTCCGGTTTCATCCTCACTCCTCACAGCATTGGGTGGGCACGGGGAGGGCTGGGCCTCCTCCATGCAGCACCACGCGGCCTCCGAGCTCTGGGCTCCTATGAGGGCCATCTCCCACTCCACCCCGCCTTGAGGTCTGGGCTCCCGTGAGGGCCATCTCCCACTCCACCCCGCCTTTAAGGGGCCCTGTGGCATCCCGATTTCCACTCAATAGTTTGTGCTCAAAACTCAAATGCCTGGGAGGCTGCGACCTTGGGCTCGCACAGCACAAGTGCCATCTTCATAAATACTCGGCAGTTCCGGGGCCAGATGGTCAGTCAACACCAGGAGGGGAGCAGGAACTGGGAGACCAGAGCGACGCTAAGCCTATGGGCTCCCGAGCTGCAGAACGGGACGCACAGCCCTGAGCACCCTGGGTGAGTGGGACAGGGCAATACGCAGGCAGAGGGGCTGGCTGTGAAAGGATGGCGGCAGCAAGGCCCATTTACAGTGCTTTCAAGGCACTGCTGAGAAGCCCCAAGGACCAGCTACTTCTCGTGGCCTGGGCGACAGTCACCTGAGTGTGTCTCAGTCTCGGGCTCACGCGGAGCTGCCGTGAGATGCTACTTGGCTGTGTTGTAAGAGTGCGTGAGTGCCTTAAGTCTCAATTTCCTTGTCTGTAGAACAGGTATAACAGCAGTGTCCCCATCGTGGGATTCAGTGGGACAATCTCTATAAATGTGTGGCAGAGCACCTGGCACTAAGGGCACACTGAGTACATGCTGTCTGCAGTAGCTGTACCTGTCATGGCCTGTCTGGTAGGCAAGTGCTTGAATGTGCAAAGCCCATCTCTTTACTTAACAGGGGGCTGCACCCCATGGGAGGGGCTGGGCAAGGGCCAAAGAGTAGGGGCAGCGGCCCCAGGTGCAGTACTGCTCACCCATTTCTTGGTCTTCCTGTACCCTTCGCCTCTCAGCCCCACACGCCTGCAGCCACCTCGCCTTGTCTTCCTGCTTTTTGGCACAAAACAGATGAACCTCGTCGGTGGTCCTGCTGACGAGCTTGAAGGCATTTTTCACGTGCAGGTTCCAGTCCTTGTCGCGCCCGTCCTCCAGGTCCCGGAGCTCCATGTCGTCCATGTCCATGCGGCCTCTGTAGTAGAGCATGTCCCGGCGCAGCAGGTCCTTCTTGCAGGACACGAGCTGGTGGTCAAACAGGAAGAACGTCCGCTGCTGGCTCCTGCCTTGCCTGGTGACTCTGGTCAGTTCCCCGGAATGGATCAGTTCTGAACTTCGGTCCAAAATATCCAGCCCCTGGAAGGATGGAAACACATCCTTAAGACCTTCCAATCCGGACTCCTTCAGACCTCAGGGCTACAGAGGAGGCCCTGACACAGACTCGTCCTTGGGCTTCCCCATCATGAAGCCCATTCACAGGTGCGAAGGGCCGTGGTGACTGTTGAAACCTTGGGTTATTAGTCTCCTTGGGTGTCAAGTTTCTTTTCTTTATTCCCTACTCAATAGGAAAGTTACATTGTCTCTGTGTTACCTGAGGTATCTTCCTTATGAGGAAGGTCTGGTGAAAAGCGCGCTGGACTAATGGAATCTAGTCCATCTGACACGGCCGCTGGCTAAGAGTGATCCTGGGAGGAGGAGGACACTGAGGCAGCTTTCTACCTACGTATGGGAATGAAGTCCTGTGGACCCTGGCTTTTGGGTCAGGTATGTGGCAGCTCTGGGAATAATAACTGGCTTAGGATCTTGGAACCAAAAGGCTAGAGAGCAAATTGCCAGCATGAAATTGGTACACTTCTGACAATAAATTATCCCCAAAATGTCAGAGTCCAAGAACAAAAAGAAAAACATACTTTTACAGTATTAGGTTGGGTCTAATCCAGTGTAACTTCACGGTATTCGGTAGCACGTTGGCCTCTGACTTCTAAGATTGTATTCCCCCTTTAATCCCAGCCAGACACAGTATTTGTTGGAGGCAAAAGACCTTGACTACAAAACAGTTCTTCTGTTTACCTGCCTAGAGCAATTCTGTGCCCTAGATTCTTCACTTACAAAATAAGACTTAGACTCGGTGATATCTGAGGTCCCAACCTAGGCCCCTGACACAGAAGTATTTCTTCCTAGCTCTCACTGCTAAAACCGTCTCTAGTTAAAAATCTAATTTACCAATCCAAACTTTCTTAATCCTTTGGGATTAAGAGGAATTCTGACCAATTAATCTGATATAGGATGAATTTTGCTTGGTCTAAAAACAATCTGAACAGAGTCAGCTAATTGTTCTTAATAACAGCCACAGAGCATAGTGGTTACCGGCATGGACACTGAAGCCAGGCTGCTTGCTCATGATTGAATCTGGCCTGACCACTCCCTAGCTGTGTGGTCTTGAGCAAGCTACTTAACCTCTCTCTGGGCTTCAGTTCCCCTATTTGTTAAATGAAGGTTAATAATAGTTCCTACTTCATGGGACTGTTGACAGGATTACATGAATTCATACATACAAATGGCTTGGACAGTGCCGGGCATATGAGAAATGCAATACAGGTTCTAGCTCTTGTCACTGCTGGTTTTATATTTATGTTATTTATTCATAAACAAATTGCGCATAAATTTATTTGTTATATATATGTGTGTATATCTGGGATATTTCCTTCCCATCTTATATATGAAAATAGTAATCTCATTCAGATCATACCAATTCAAATGCAGGCAGTAGGACTCCGGGAGCCCACGCTCCTACCACAGTGGTATTTGCATTTTAATTGTTCTCTAGCTGCTCTCCCAGAGAAGATTCTAGCAGAAGAGACAGAGGAGAAGCAATAGATAAACTACAGACACTCTTAAGAGTTTATTTCTTGGTGGCGCTGAGGGGTAAAGTAGCTGACAGTCAGAGGCACCAATATGCCTAAAACACACACCATCAAAGCCAAGAATATAAAAGTATCAATCACAGGACACTAAGGGATGTTACCCAACTAGACAGCAGGTTGGGGAGGGCGTGAGCAGAGCTGGACAAAGCAGAAGGTGGGAGGGGTACCCCACTCACCTCCCAGCCTACGATGGACACCTGCCACCGTGCTATCTTGTCTATGCTCTCCAGCTTGCGTTTGCGCTCATTGATCAAACAGGCTACGTTCTTCATGGCTTCATATGCTGCCTTTATATTGTTGTAGTCACTGCAAAGCAGGGGGTTAATTGTAAAGATGTGACAGCCACTTGCAAACTGCTATTGGACAAAATAATACAAATCTCTGATTTGTAAACTGATTGTCTAGACAATGTGACATTTCAATAATAGCCACTGTTTCCTTTTTCTTCTTCCTCATGAATAGACTACAGTCTGCATAGGTTAAGGGAGCTGACCGAATGCAATCCATAATTCTTTGGAAAAAGGATGTTTTTATTCATTTCCCAGAAATCACAATGAATGAAAGTAAATGTCACAAGAGTAAGTTTTAGCCAGAGTGACAATGGATTATTTTCATTAAGAAAGGACAGTCTTTATTGTTGCTTTGGTTTTTGATATAGCCAGTTTCACTATATAAAATACTTTGATAATCACTAACCATTTTCAAGAGGAATTATTTTCTCGGAATCTTATGTTGATCAGGAAGGGGCTCAAGAGGCCACAAGCCAAGGGAGGCTTTCCGTAGTGAGTTACCCAAGCGCTAACAGCAGATCCACCTCATCAACAGACCTTCATCTCTCACGCTTTCCACACGCTACAGTCATTTCAAATTAAAGTGTTCCCCCAGCAGGCTCTTATCCCAAGGTCTCTCAAACCACAGGTACCAGGAAAACCAACCACAGTTCTAATGTGCACACAGGCTGGAGCAGAGGCTGTCTGGTATTTGGGAAGTTTTATGGGACATCGAAACCAATCACCCAGCGAGGAACTGAATTTTTTACTTTCCAGCACTTTCCTGTGTCTGAGGAACAGACAGAGCCTTTGGGTCTCAGATGGACTGACTTAAGAGTCCTCCAGCCCAGCCAGGAACAGAGCCTTGGAAGCGGATTCTGTTGTCTATTTATGATACACAGTTAAATTCAGCTCCTGGGAGTCCCTGGGCATTTCGCCCACAGGCAGACCCTGCTGTCTTCAGACAGGCCTGTTCCCACACGGGAGCAGAGCACAGAGGAAGGACAAAATGATACAAGGGGCTGCCGAAATAATGGGAGCAAAGCCCCCCAGAGACGCCTCCAGCAATAATGAAAGTGTGCAAAGTAATCATATTTTTTTCTACAAGTTTTTCTGTACATTTCCAGAAAAGAAGCAGAGTGTGATAGTTTTTTTTTCCTAATTTATTTGTTTTACTAACAACAAGGAAATGGGCTTTTTTGTCATTTCCTTTAAAATGATTAAAGAAAAAAAATAGCCAAAAATCTGCAAATGCCTCCTAGTGAAAAAATGCCCTTCAAAGAGAAAAACTAACTGTTGGAGGATGACGGGCAGACTTCTGGCCACAGCTTTCCCATCAGGAAGGTACTACTTTGCTGGCCCGTGTCTTTTCAAGATGTATCTGCTTCATTTAATTCTCGTATTTTCTGTGGTTTCCCACCATGATGTGTTTTTATTCTTTTTTTAAACATTTTCTTAAACTTGTGACTCTCTTGACTTCACTATTTTTCTTTCCACCCAACTTTTCAGCTTTCTGCAGCAGAAACAGATATATTTACAGCTCTCTTTCTTCTTATCTATTTCCATGAACTCCTTTCTCTTACTCTTTAATCCCAGTTCTTTAAAAGTAACATGCATTGTCTAGGGTCTGTGGTTCAGTGACCTAGCTTTTCTCTTTCTATCTTCCAATCTAACTGTAGAAAGGTTCCTTTCTTCAAGCCCACAGGGGTCCAGTGGCAGAGAGAGCAAAGGAGTGACCCGTTTTCCACCTGACAGGGCCGGGCACCACCATGAATAATTTGACTGGTCTTGGGGCAACAGTTGTTAAAAACCCAAAATTGTTGTGGTTTGCTACAGCAATTTTGTCTGGTGTAAATCCTTTCCTTCTCCCTCTTCATGCCAGAGGCCTTCAAGGCTGTCCTTCCTTCCAGGGCTGCAGGGGCGGTGAGAGCTTTGGGCCACATGTGGGCGTCAGACACAGGGTCTGAGTCTCATGGGAACAGTCAGCTTTACCCCCAAACCCTCCCGTGGTCACGTCCTCACTGGCATTCCAGTTGTGGCCTGGTGAGAACATGAGCAACAAACCGAACACTGCTACCTAAAGCCACCTGGCAACTGGGTCTGGCTGTGCTGACGTTTTCCCGCATCTTGGAAAACGGGCATGTCCGCTCAGATACCGGCTGGGTGGCATCTTACCAATCATCACAGGAAGATTACACATTAAACTGCACATGCAGGAAAATGATGAGGTGCCAGTAAGTAACAGATCGTTTTTTGGCTCCCCAGAACTTAGTTAGGCACAGAGTTAGCCCCAAAGGGAAGCGGAGCATTCAGCTAACTGTGACCAGAAAGAAGCCCTGTGCTCAAAGCGAGAGGGAAGGGGCGGAAAGGACTGCGGAGACCCAGCGGGCGCCAGGGCTGGTGGGCAAGGGCTTAGAAACCAACACGAAGAATCAACATTTGAAACCAACATAAGATTGTATTATTAATGATACTTTAATAAATAGTAAAAAAACAAAAAGAAAAAAGAAAGGGCTTAGAGCCCAACAAGGTCTCAGCAAGATGCCTCTTCCAAGTTGACCCCCCACACCCTTGAATTCCGGTCCCTTTACAGGCCAACTCCTGTGCATCCTCACCCCTTCTACGAAGCCTCTTCCTGCTGCACAACATGAGGGGCATTTGCCAGGACACAGTTTAAGGAGTCCAGGGCAGGAGAGGAAGGAAAATATGTCTGTAACTGTACTCACAACCGTCTATTTCTTTCAACAATGTTTGAAATTAACTACTGAGTAGCTACAGGAGACTTATGATAAAAAACACATCAATTATAAGGACTGATGATACAATAAAAATCCCATGTGCTCAGAACACTGTTTAAGAATTACCCTTATTGTTCATTATTGTGGGGAATGGATATTCCAGAGCCTCTTTCTTGACCCTATTTCAACACTCAACAACCTTAGCTAGTCTAGAAAATCTGAAAACTCCTTCCGTATAGGTAACTGGAAGTGTCAAGCCTGCCCCGTCAGCCCAGCTGTCACTGCTGCTCTGCAGAGCCCAGAGCACCTGCTGGAAGGACCCTGCAGGGTGGGCAGCACTGGTGTTATTCCCGGCGTGCCCAGGAGGCCTGCGTGGCTCCTGCGGGCGGCTGTGCCCTCACCTGTGCTCCTGCGTGGTGTACTTGAGCAGCTCAGCCAGCTGCAGCGGGTATTTGCAGATCTTCTGCACCGGCGTGAGGAGGAAGCCGTCGATAGCGATGTCGATCATCTGCTGCAGCAGGCGGCAGGCCTCGAAGAAGTGTCTGTACCGGCCCTGCTTCATCAGGCTGGACAGCTCCGCGCAGGCGCCCGGGTGGTTGTTGCAGTACTCGGAGTAGATGGCGAAGCCCTCTTGCTGGCAAGGGGAGAGCACAGCTTCATCAGCGTAAGGCCAGGCCAAGGCACCTCCTAGCCCTACCTGAGTGGGCATTTCTGGGAGCAGGGAGGTACACCACAGCCCCAAGTGGTCCTGCACTGTTTCTCATGCCTGTGCAGTAAGCCTGTACTTCTCAGTGGGAAGGGGCCGTTTCCAGGGGGTGTCAGCTGTCCTGGCACTCAGCATCCTGGTCCCACTCCAGGCCCCCTGAGAGGGTGGGTCACAGGTACACGTGGCTTCCCAGGGCAGTGGTGCCCTCTGCTGTCACCCTCCTCACCCCTGCTCCCCTCTGAGAAAGAAGGAGGTGCTGTCCCCCATCTCTCCCTCCTGGGCCTCTTCATTGTCACTGATTAACTGGTTGACTATGATCAGGAGAGGGGACTCAAGTGCGCCCTCCTCCCCCTCACACCTCTCCTCCTTCACATGCTGCCACCCGGTGTCCACATGCACGGCACCCTATGGCCTCCGACGGAAGCCCTGCGCCACTTCCTTCCTCCCCGACAGTCCACTCCACAGCGACCGCCTCCCTGCCAGCTCTTTCCAGACACCCCGCTTCTCCTGGACCTGGCACTACACTCCCTTCCCCTCCCTGTGTCCTGGGCCGCCCCCACGGCCTCCACACCCCAGGGCCTCTGCTCCTCAGCCCACATATCCCTGAACATCCCCTCACCCTGAGCATCCCAGCCCCAAACCTCTCACCTCCCAAATGTTCCCTCACCCCCGACCCCAACCAATATTTTCTGTGGTTTCCCACCATGATGTGTTTTTATTCTTTTTTTAAACATTTTCTTAAACTTGTGACTCTCTTGACTTCACTATTTTTCTTTCCACCCAACTTTTCAGCTTTCTGCAGCAGAAACAGAAATATTTACAGCTCTCTTTCTTCTTATCTATTTCCATGAACTCCTTTCTCTTACTCTTTAATCCCAGTTCTTTAAAAGTAACATGCATTGTCTAGGGTCTGTGGTTCAGTGACCTAGCTTTTCTCTTTCTATCTTCCAATCTAACTGTAGAAAGGTTCCTTTCTTCAAGCCCACAGGGGTCCAGTGGCAGAGAGAGCAAAGGAGTGACCCGTTTTCCACCTGACAGGGCCGGGCACCACCATGAATAATTTGACTGGTCTTGGGGCAACAGTTGTTAAAAACCCAAAATTGTTGTGGTTTGCTACAGCAATTTTGTCTGGTGTAAATCCTTTCCTTCTCCCTCTTCAGGCCAGAGGCCTTCAAGGCTGTCCTTCCTTCCAGGGCTGCAGGGGCGGTGAGAGCTTTGGGCAACATGTGGGCGTCAGACACAGGGTCTGAGTCTCATGGGAACAGTCAGCTTTACCCCCAAACCCTCCCGTGGTCACGTCCTCACTGGCATTCCAGTTGTGGCCTGGTGAGAACATGAGCAACAAACCGAACACTGCTACCTAAAGCCACCTGGCAACTGGGTCTGGCTGTGCTGACGTTTTCCCGCATCTTGGAAAACGGGCATGTCCGCTCAGATACCGGCTGGGTGGCATCTTACCAATCATCACAGGAAGATTACACATTAAACTGCACATGCAGGAAAATGATGAGGTGCCAGTAAGTAACAGATCGTTTTTTGGCTCCCCAGAACTTAGTTAGGCACAGAGTTAGCCCCAAAGGGAAGCGGAGCATTCAGCTAACTGTGACCAGAAAGAAGCCCTGTGCTCAAAGCGAGAGGGAAGGGGCGGAAAGGACTGCGGAGACCCAGCGGGCGCCAGGGCTGGTGGGCAAGGGCTTAGAAACCAACACGAAGAATCAACATTTGAAACCAACATAAGATTGTATTATTAATGATACTTTAATAAATAGTAAAAAAACAAAAAGAAAAAAGAAAGGGCTTAGAGCCCAACAAGGTCTCAGCAAGATGCCTCTTCCAAGTTGACCCCCCACACCCTTGAATTCCGGTCCCTTTACAGGCCAACTCCTGTGCATCCTCACCCCTTCTACGAAGCCTCTTCCTGCTGCACAACATGAGGGGCATTTGCCAGGACACAGTTTAAGGAGTCCAGGGCAGGAGAGGAAGGAAAATATGTCTGTAACTGTACTCACAACCGTCTATTTCTTTCAACAATGTTTGAAATTAACTACTGAGTAGCTACAGGAGACTTATGATAAAAAACACATCAATTATAAGGACTGATGATACAATAAAAATCCCATGTGCTCAGAACACTGTTTAAGAATTACCCTTATTGTTCATTATTGTGGGGAATGGATATTCCAGAGCCTCTTTCTTGACCCTATTTCAACACTCAACAACCTTAGCTAGTCTAGAAAATCTGAAAACTCCTTCCGTATAGGTAACTGGAAGTGTCAAGCCTGCCCCGTCAGCCCAGCTGTCACTGCTGCTCTGCAGAGCCCAGAGCACCTGCTGGAAGGACCCTGCAGGGTGGGCAGCACTGGTGTTATTCCCGGCGTGCCCAGGAGGCCTGCGTGGCTCCTGCGGGCGGCTGTGCCCTCACCTGTGCTCCTGCGTGGTGTACTTGAGCAGCTCAGCCAGCTGCAGCGGGTATTTGCAGATCTTCTGCACCGGCGTGAGGAGGAAGCCGTCGATAGCGATGTCGATCATCTGCTGCAGCAGGCGGCAGGCCTCGAAGAAGTGTCTGTACCGGCCCTGCTTCATCAGGCTGGACAGCTCCGCGCAGGCGCCCGGGTGGTTGTTGCAGTACTCGGAGTAGATGGCGAAGCCCTCTTGCTGGCAAGGGGAGAGCACAGCTTCATCAGCGTAAGGCCAGGCCGAGGCACCTCCTAGCCCTACCTGAGTGGGCATTTCTGGGAGCAGGGAGGTACACCACAGCCCCAAGTGGTCCTGCACTGTTTCTCATGCCTGTGCAGTAAGCCTGTACTTCTCAGTGGGAAGGGGCCGTTTCCAGGGGGTGTCAGCTGTCCTGGCACTCAGTGTCCTGGTCCCACTCCAGGCCCCCTGAGAGGGTGGGTCACAGGTACACGTGGCTTCCCAGGGCAGTGGTGCCCTCTGCTGTCACCCTCCTCACCCCTGCTCCCCTCTGAGAAAGAAGGAGGTGCTGTCCCCCATCTCTCCCTCCTGGGCCTCTTCATTGTCACTGATTAACTGGTTGACTATGATCAGGAGAGGGGACTCAAGTGCGCCCTCCTCCCCCTCACACCTCTCCTCCTTCACATGCTGCCACCCGGTGTCCACATGCACGGCACCCTACGGCCTCCGACGGAAGCCCTGCGCCACTTCCTTCCTCCCCGACAGTCCACTCCACAGCGACCGCCTCCCTGCCAGCTCTTTCCAGACACCCCGCTTCTCCTGGACCTGGCACTACACTCCCTTCCCCTCCCTGTGTCCTGGGCCGCCCCCACGGCCTCCACACCCCAGGGCCTCTGCTCCTCAGCCCACATATCCCTGAACATCCCCTCACCCTGAGCATCCCAGCCCCAAACCTCTCACCTCCCAAATGTTCCCTCACCCCCGACCCCAACCATATAAATCAGTCAACTTAATTTTTAAGTGACCTCTCCGTTCTATAGGAAATTAATCTAACAAGAACAAAACTAAAAGGACTCCTCTTTGTAGTGAAGAAACGTTTCAAAATTATGTAACTGGGTATTATTAATAGAAGTAACAGGTGACATACATGTTGAAGAAAGCAGGGTCCTATTTCACTTAAATGCGGTTCCTCTTTATTGTACTGTTTCTCAAGGTCTTTTAGGAATTGTCTTTGGAATTTGTAAATATCTTCAATGTTTCCAAAAATGGTGGCTAGTTGTGCAACAGTGAACATTCCTGTGTGCTTGCGACACTGTCGGATATAGCCCTACAAAACAGAGAAGTAAACTTTGTTAAATTAATTGGGACACTCAGAGAAATTATTCATTTGAATTATACAGCTGTTTAGGTCTGAAGCCATGGTCTTGGAGTGGATTTTAGAGAAAATTATTTTATCCTTTGGGTCCCTGATGAAATTATCATAGTTCCCTGACTACCATGTGCCATTAATATTTTAAAAACATAAGGAAAGAGAAAAGGTATGTGTGGATGAATTTATAATTCAACAAATCTTATAAAGATTCTAGATTATACTCATGAAACAAGCTGCTTGGGTTCAGATACGAGAGCTCACAAATTGGCATAGTCACACTCTTTAAGGCAGTCACTCTCCCGTTCCTGATCCCATTTCACAGCCGAGAGCGCTTGTCAAATCCAGAATGCCACTGCTTGCTGAAGAGCCCAAGCAGATCTGCTCACTGTCATGGCCAAGAGCCAAGACCATCTTACCCAAGGACGCCACCATCACCTACTTCTGTGTACACATGGCATCAATCTGTAGGCCTTTAATCCAAGGCCTGTACTAACTGAAGCACTACTAATTCTCTGGTGTGCCCTGGCTGTACTGTGGCTCGGGTAGCAGTTAGTGCAGTAGGAAGGAGAAGCCATAAATACATGTAATAATTATCCCCAAATTAGCATTATGTAATCACACAGACTAAACTGACTACATGGTAAAATACACACTACTGACCACTTGGTATGAATTTTAACAGAAAGACTACAAAAAGGCTTAGAGCACAGGCTCTAAGGCAGACTGTCTGGTTTAAATCCCAACCACACACTATGTAACTTCTCTGTGCCTCAGTTTCCTCATCCATAAAGGGGGCTGGTAGGTGAGAGTGCTGTATGAGTTCCTCCAGGTAAAGGGATGGCACATAGTCAATGCTCAACAGTTATTAGCAATGAGTTTTATTTTCCTAAAATGACACTTTAAAGAAACCCCCATAACCATGTATTTATGCAGAACAAGACGGTTGGCACAAATAAGCTGAACACTGGTGTATCTTTGGCCAGTTAATCTAATCACAGAACTGGCAGCTGCCCCATTTCAGCAGGTCTCCAGGGCTGAACTTCCACGGCTGAACTGAGAGCGCAGAGATGAGCGTTCCCAGCCAGGCGGCCGGAACGATCAAGGGGCAAGAGCAGTTAGTGTGATGCGGACAGGATCCAGGAAATGAAAAATACCATGGAGGAAATACAAGTCACTGCCGAGCAGAACACCACGGCTGTGGACATCACCAAACAAAACCGATCTTTTTTTGGTCTACATCCTAATGACGAGCATCTGCCAGTGATCAGGTGCAGCCACATGGAGGACAGTGACAAACCTTTGATTCTTTGTAAAGTCAAGTGGGTTTTGCTTAAGGGGGGCTGCCTTCTCTGCAAGTCATTCAGTCGTGAGCTGAGCAGCTGCGTCCTGAGAGGATGGCTGCCTGGCACCCGGAGAGGAGGACTGACTATGACGGCAGGTCCGAGAGGCACCGGTGCTCCCCGAGGTAGAGGAGTATTTAATGAGGGAGTGAGGGGCAAGGAGGAGAGGGCCAAGAATAACATGCAAACCCGAGGGCCTGCCCGGAGACAGAAGGACACTGTGCGGGCGCGCCGTGCTGCCACACGACCGCCTCAGGGGGCCACAGGCCAGACGTCTTACCTCGCAGATGTCCTTGAGGTGCTTTATGTACACCCGCTCGGTGTTCATGATCTCCTGGATGACGTTAGCCCTCATCTGGCGCTTGCTCTCGGGGTGCGGGTGGCGGCTCCTGCCGGCGTCCTCCTGCTCCTCGTCCTGGGAGCTGCTGGAATTCTCTGACAGCTCTTCCTGGTTGACACGCAACTGCAGCCCACACACAAGCAGCGGGTGACTTGGGGGGACATGGCACCAGAACCAGGAAGGGCGCCGCCCCCACACCCCCTTCTCCTGACCAGCTGGGAAGGCGGCCTGGCCCTGGCCTGTCTCCACCTGCCTGGCTGCTCAAGCACAGCAGCAAAAGGCCCATCAACTAGTTCACATAAGTTGAAACTTTACCTTCAACTGCAGCTAATTTCTAAAAGGTTTGATTAAAATGATATAAAGAGCGAGTCTGGACCTTAAACAATTCCACTGTTCCCCTGAAGACAGCTGTGAAAGTGCCACACACTTACTCTGACAAAGCTCGCGGGGAACCAGGCTTCCTTATCCTCATTCCGGCCCCACCACCAGTCCTTGTTAGAAGCTTCCAGCACCTGGATGACATCTCCTGCCTTGAAGCCCAGTTCCTGGTCATCCATGGTCACGTGGTCCCACAGGGCTTCTGCACAGACCACGCTGCCATCGCTGATCAGCTGCAAAGGAGACACATGGAGTGCTTAGTGCAGAAACGAGGCAGGCAGAACAGCAAGCAAGATGCCGTGAGCTTTCTCAGGGTGGCACGGACATCTTCCAGCTCTCGTTGGAGTGGACAAAACGTTTTCAGTCCAAACTTACTGTTTGATTGTTACACAAAGTAAACAGAGAAAAACATACGAGAGCAAACAAAATCAGGTGGGTATCTCCTACATGCTCTTAAAGGAAACTCCAAATCCACTGTTTTGGAAAAATGTAAAAATGACACACTTATCTGTACACCAGTTACCTAACCAATTTGAAAATCTGGAATATTCACCATGAAGTGGTTTCTGAATAGTCAAACTAGATGTCACAAAGCCAAGCCTCCAGCGGTTATGCACATACTTTACCACCAGACAGACCCTCACAGCCTCTGTCAGAACTTAACTCTTTACACTGTATTCACAATTTGAAAAAACTCTGTACCTAACTTTATAGTTTACTGCAATTAAAGAGAACACAGCATGCCTCTGGATTATTAGCAGTTAAGCTGAAAGAATAAAGAATGGCCAGAGGTCCCTGTCAGTTAGCCGAGGGGCAGATGACTGCACAGTCACCCTGTTCTAGAGGGGTGCCATCACATCCTATAGCAAAAGGGATGATACGGCCAGGATGCTGGTGGCATTGATGGGGATGGCAACTCACTGAGAAGTCATCTCCACATGCTCTGTTCAAGAACTCCAAAAGCTAAAAGTACTTTCTAAAAAGATTTCTGTAAAAATGGCTAAAGATGCAGTGGCAGAAAGAACACCAGTTTGTAGTGAGAAATAAGTAATTTCAGCTCTGCCATTTGTTAGCAAGTAATTTAGCCTCTTAGCCTCAGAGCGTTTATTAAAATATGGATAATCACTACCTCTTAGACTGGTTGTGAGACCTTGGTGAGATACATAAGGGAGTACAGTTCATAAAATGAAAAGCACCACTCAAAACACTAATGATTACTGCTCTTGTTACGTAGAGGGATGAGCTACAGTTATCTGGAAAATTCTACCACATACATTGTCCTTGAAAATGCCAGAAAATCATAGCATTTTTTTCTAATCAAAGAGTTCTAGGTTTTAGAACGTATTAGTAGGAAATAATCAGAGAGGAAAGTCTGAAGTGACATTGGACCCTGAAAATCGGGTACCCAATGTTTGCCATTGTTGCGTGGAGTCTTACCTCGTTGATGGCCAGCTGTTCCCCGCCTGGCTGCAGGTATCCGGGGCTGGCCTGGCACAGGGCTTCATAACTGCACTCTTCCTCGCTGCCGTTGTCATCCACTAAGGCGGAAGACTCAATACCTCCATCTGAAGACACTGAAAAAAAAAAGAGGGAAGGGAGGGGGATGCAGCACAGTTTAAAAGAGTCAGGCAACAAAATTTTAAGTGACAAAATAAGAACATAGCCCTAAGGAAAAATTATCGCTTGTATGTTATCCAGAATAAGAAATCACTAGAAAATTTCTACTGCTCTATTAAGCCAAAGGTGGTAGTTACGCTGATAACAGCTGGGGTCACGCACACCGGTGGGTGGGGAGGGGAACACTTGGGAGTACTGCCAACACTAACACAGTGTTATTTTGTGAATTAGGATAGTGAGTGAATTATGTGTGACTTAGGTGGAAAGTGGTGCTCTAACGTGGACATAAAAAATATACACAACAGTGTTTCTAAGCAATGTGCTGCTAAGTTTGAAGAGGAAAAGAAAAATACCATTATTTTAAAAGCTGTATCTTTTACCCACAAGGCATTGGTAGTGCTATAATAAAAAGGTGCTGACAGCATCCTAAGTAAAAACAGGCAGCCATTCTTCCTAGTTGTCCATATACGAAAAGGCTGGAACTCACAACACCAGAATTTAACCAAAAAAAAAAAAAAGAGATCTTTTAAGGATGGATGTAGCATTTGGGTTGATCTTGGCAATTCTTGGAACAGGAGGCTGCACTTACCGAGGCTTATCTGTCCCTGAGCAGAGGGAATTTTAATGAGAAACAGAACATTATTCCCTGTGAAGAAGACAGGGAAGGTTTCATAGAAGAGGTAGCTGGCTCTTCAAGATACTTGAGGACAAAATGTGGCTCAATTTGAAGAACAGGATACATGGACATCGGTACATCTAATGAGATGAGACTGGAAAAGTGAGGTGGGGGCATACTGCGCGGGCCTCAGGGGCTGGGATAAGCAATGAATGGCTCTTCTAGAGCTTTGAGTAAGGGGACAAGTTTTGACTGGAGGCTCCCTCCGGAAGGAGGACGGGTTTTAGAGTCACATGACCTGGTCTGAGTTCTAGCCCTACACACACGGGACCCTAGCCAAGCAACTTAATCTCTCTGAGCTTCACATCCTAATGCAAAAACAATGTTCCTTCCTTTTGTTGATAAAAGATAATGTGTGTCAAGTTCCCACAGCCCTGATTCAGAGTAAGAATAACTCACTGAAAGAGTTACTGTGGTGGTGGCAGTGAGCCTGGTGGCAGCTGGGCTGGACACTGGCTTTGCTCGGGCATGGAGTGGGCGGCCGGAGGGCAGCACAGGCCCAGGGCGCCCAGGAGGGGCGGCGGCTGGAGCGAGCGGCACTGAGGCGCTGCACCGGGGGACCGGCACGGGACCCAACTTTCCGGGCATTGGGCAAGCCAAGCTGACGCAGGTGCGACAAATATGACAAAGTCAAGGATGATTCAGAAAAACCTCAAGTTACCGGGGCAAATAACAAGAAAGGGAAGTCAGGGAAGCCAGGCTGCGGAAGGATGGTGGTGGCTCTGAGCCTGCAGAGCAGAGGGCTGTCCGCCCTTCCTTTGCTCAAGGACTTGGGAGGCTGAATTTCTACAAACTCTACCCTCAGGGGACAGGTCCACTTTTTAAGCTGAAGAACTTTTCTTTTTAAGTGAGTGAGATATTTTTGATTCTTTATTTTTGTACTAAGTCTTCAAAATCCGAGGTGCATTTCTGTTCACTGCCCAGCCGGTCATGCCAGGCCAGAGAGCAGGTGCTCCCCAGATGCACGTCTGGCCCCAGGCCAGCTCCATGCTCTGTGCACCAGGCCCTGTGCTGTTCCTGCTTCCCCAGCACTTGCGAACTTTTTTAAAGCAACACATTTTGTAAATAAAGTACAGAATCCTTACATTAAAACAGTAAAAACGACTGAAAAAGATTTGCGAGTTTAAAACTGAGTCTATAATAGGCAGAGTCAGGGCCACGGTCACGAGGAGCTCAAACCAGGGAAGGTGGGTGGTACTGGAGCATGTGGGGATGTGGCAGCAGAGGGCAGGCGCGCGTCACAGCCACCCGCCTTCCCCGGGAGCCCGTCCTCCCGGCCCGCGCTCCGGACAGAGCACTGATCAGCAGTGCCTGACAAGCTGGGTCTCCTCACGGACCCACACTTGGGATGTGCTTTCCTGCAGCCCGGGGTGCCCCTCTGCACCTGGGAACCCCCCAGCCAAGCCACTGCCATCATTCCTTCACGTCTACGACGGCACGGGCACGTGTAACCATAAGCTGTCTCTCGTGGCTTTGTCCAGCCAGGCTCACAGGAGGTGGGGGGCTCCCCATGCCTAGGATGGTGCACTGGACATGAGGACAGGGACCCTGGGATGAGCTGACAGCTCTGCAGGAAGGTCAGAAGGGCCCTGGTTCTGACCCCATGGTGCCCGGTACCCTCTCCCACCTCCCTTCTCCTCCCTGTTCCCACGGCCAGTCTCATTCAGGAAGGATCCCAGCCTGTGGAGGGAAAAGTGAAAGTCGCCTCAGGGAGGAAGGCAATGCAGCAGAGGAATGTTCTGGACCTGATGCAAAGTCAAGGAGCAGAAGAAAGTCTTCCAGGCCCTGGTGCTGCGTCTGAGGCCCCCACCTTGCTTTCCAACTCACCACAGAAGAGAGGTGGCACCTGGCCCAGGGCACCTGGGGCAGTCTGTGTAAGGGGAGTGCAGCAGGTGGGCAGCAGAGAACGAGCAGTGTGTGTGGGTGTCGTCACAGAGGGCAGCTGGCGACACCACATACCAGGACCCTCTCTCTGGGCGGAGGGGAGAAGGGCTTCCCTCTGGAGCGCAACACCGGCAGCGCTTCTGTTGCCAAGTGCCAGGGGCAGGGGTGCAGTGGGGTGAGCAGGGAGCGGTCTGGAGAAAGTCAGGCAGCCGTGTCTGAGAAGAGTGCACGAGCCACTCTGAAAGCCTGGGTGATGCATGCTGACCTCTCCCCCCCGCGCCCTCAGAGTGCCTGCTGCAGAGAACAGGAGGTCCCCGGTGCGGCGCGCTTCCCTGGTCTGTGCTTTCGGAGGAGCAGAGAAGGTCTTACAGAAGCAAACACATTTTTCCTACTTGCATGAGTCTTTCCTAACTAGAAAGGAAGTAGCACGAAAGCTGCAAATCTTCTCCAACCGGAGTCCTTAGGGCAGCTGCCCAGACCACCAGGCCCACTGGCGAGCGGCTGAAACCTTCTATTTTCAGTGTCCTGGGTGAGGGGGATACATACAACACACCTGGGCAAATGTCCCAGCTGCACTAACTTTCTCTCTAGATGACCTTGGAGCAAGTCACCTGCCGTCTGCCAACCTTACTTTTCCCATCTGTAAAATGGGAGGTTACATGTTTTATCTACTCAGAGGTTATTCTTTTTCTTTTGCTTCTCCCAACCTATGTCCAACTCATCAGCAGATCCTGACTCACCCTTCAGGATACGTCCATAATCTGGCCACTTCTCACGCCCCTGAACACTCAAGCCTCGGTCCCCTCAAGCTGGGTCACTCCGGCAGCCCCTCACTCATCTCCCTGCCCCTGCCACGCCCCTCTCCCAGCGATGATCATCACAGGAGCCAGAGGGACCCCTGAAGACCACCCTCCGCAAAGTAAACTCTCTGCATCTCCCACCCTCACTCGGCTCCGGTCCTGAGGGTGTTTCCCACACCAGGCACCCCTGCCCTGGGCCAGAGGCTCCCTGTGCCTGACCGCCCCCACCCCTCCAAGCACACAAACCCTCAGCAGGTGCTTCCTGACCATCCCACTGCCAACGGCCCCCTCCTACCCCGCCCAGTCTTTCCTTATTTATTTTCCTCCATAGCATTTCTCACCATTCATCGATTTTGCTCATTGTCTTCTCTCTCCCAACTAAAATGTAAGCTACATAAAGGTAGTGATTTTGTCCACTTTGTTCTTAACTATATTCCTAGGACCCAGACCACTGCCTGGCACACACAGGTGCTCAGGAAGTATTGGATGGATGGATGGATGGATGGATGGATGGATGGATGGATGGATGGATGGACGGATGGAAACACAGCACACAGACTAAGGGCAGGACTTTGGGGTCAGACACACCTGACTTCAAGTAACAGTGCTCCATGTATTTTTTTTTTTAAGAGTCCTTGATCAAGTTACTTCCTCAATTTTTCACTTGTCGAATAATGGTAATACTCATCCTATGGATTGTTAATAAATTCTCAACAAGTAACTGTTATTAGTTTGCTGTGAGCCTCACGTGAAAGCAATGAAAACTGAGAAACGGTACCGAGGCACAGGGTGATGGTGGTGGGCATGTGCAATGAGCCAGGTGTGGTTTTCAGCCTTTTTGCCCAGACATCCCTCATGATAATGCTACATGGTGGAACTACTGGTTTTCCCAGTTCACAGATCAGCAAACCCCAGCTCCTACACCACACACTGCTGGGGGAAGCAGGGCCCTGTGCCAAGGTTGCCCCCCCCTACCCACTGGGTGCCACTGTCCCCCCAGCACCACCTTCATTCTCAGTGGTAATGTGCCACCCATGCCCCAGGGCTCGTACATCCCACTCACTGCTCCTCCGCTCCTTTGGTGCACCTCTCCTCCCTGCTCCCACTCCCTGGTCCAAACTGGGCCTGCCAGGGCCTGGCTGGGCTTTCTGTCCTATCCTCGTCCCTTCATGACCTTAACTACTTTCATGATTTTCAAGTTCCTTTGAAGTTGATGACTCCCTGTGTTTTGGTTCTCTGATGTACATGCACCTTTTGGAGGTGGATTTTTCAACATCGAGGTCCGATGTCACGATGTGACGCTATACTTTGAGGCTGCACCTGTGCACAGCGCTGTTGTCTAGTAGTCCCCCCATTCACTGTCTATTCATACATGCTTCCCGTCCAAGACTGTAACTTTAGGGAAGGGCTGGAGTCTGTTTTTGTATCCCCAGTGCCTAGCACACCTGACATACAGAAGACACTCTGTGAACACTTTTCAATGGAACCGCAAATCACTGATTAGGAAACCAACGTTCCAAGACATTCAGCTCTTTGACTGGGCTGGGCCAGAAGCCAAAAGCACCCTCGGCGCCCCGACCCCTGCCACCATATTCTA